AAACTTTTTTGGTCATCTCTTAATTCATGCCAGGATATGCTTTCATAGCCTCCCTTAGAGCAGATTCTTGCCATTGTTTTGGGTGACTCCAAAACGCCAAAACACGGCCCTTCAGCTCTCAAAACAGTGAGAGGCCCACGTACCGCAAAAACAAACAAATAAACAAAAAAAAACTAAACAACAAAAAAAACAAAAACAAAAAAAAGCACAGTGTTACTTTCATGGGCTCTGGAATCTGACCCCTGGACTTCAACCCTATTCCAGTTCTACAGTTTACTAGCTGGGCAAGTTTTAGTATCATGGTCCTACAAAAGTTGATAAGATTAAAAGAGTTAATAATACATGTAAAGAGCCAAACAATCTGGCATTTAGTTAGTGCTGAATAAATAGCATCTTTTTAAGCCCTTCAACCTTTGACCCCCTCTTTCACTCCAGTCTTCACCAATGTGTATACTGGGGGAAATCCCTGAGAATTGTGACTGTGAATCTGTGAAGGAATGGAAACCCGCTGGCTAACTTCCATGAGAGAGTGGTTCCTAGACCAACATAGATGCATGGAAGACACAGGTGCATGGAAAGAAGCACAGATGATGGGGTTTACAGTTACAGGGATGGGAGCAAAGTCCAGATAGGCTGTTGGATTCTGAGTAACATGAGAAAACTGGGAACACTGTGAGACCAGGAAACATAGGCAGGGATGAGTTGTCCTAAAGCACATTTTCACACAAGCCTGATGGCTGGGGAATTCCAGGTGAATGTGTGAATGTGAAACTCTCTTCAAGAAAACAGTATCTGAGGGCTTCCCTGGTGGCACAGTGGTTGAGAGTCCGCCTGCCGATGCAGAGGACACGGGTTCGTGCCCTGTCTGGAAAGACCCCACATGCTGCGAAGCGGCTGCACCGGTGAGCCATGGCTGCTGAGCCTGCGCATCTGGAGCCTGTGCTCCGCAACGGGGGAGGCCACAACAGTGAGAGGCCCGCGTACTGGAAAAAAAAAAAAAAAAAAGAAAGAAAGAAAACAGTATCTGAGCAGAATGGGTGAAAAGACTGGGAAGTGAATCAGAGAGTAAGCGAATCTTCCTCTCCAGTTCATTATTTCTCTGTCTGGGAGAAGGGGAACACAGTAATAGCTGTTCCCTGACGTGACTTCGTACCTTGGAGACTCCTAAGGCACATTCACATATTGAAGTTTCTTAGAACTCCTGTTGTAAACCAGTAAGCTTAACTGCGTTGCAGCCTGGTCCTCCTGTTCATAACTTTTATTTATTCTATTTTCATCTTATCTTCACCCCAATCCAGGAGATCAGATGTGAGATTTTTACCGTGGAGAAAATAAAGGACAAGATACAAGACCATGTTAGAAAAAGTTAGTAGAGTACACAGTTCTAGGAAGTTCACTTTTGCAGAGATGGTTTGGATTTAGTGATTCACATGTATAAGAGAAAAACACTGGGTTCCTTGATTCCAAAAACTAGCTCTCCATGCAAATACTGGGGATAACCCCCTGAACTCTGCCATCTCACTTTGTTCACCTATATAGTAGAGATTATAGTGCTGGTCTGACTCAAAGGAAAAAGGAAGAAGGTAAAAGTTAAATGAGACAATGCATGGAAAGTGCTTAGTAGAGGGCTTGACACAGATAAAGGAAATATTACAAGTTTTGCTTTTGTTATTGTTATTTTACTCCTCGGTTTACAGAGTTCAAAAGCTTAAACTATTTAACAAATATCATATGATATAGCTTATATGTGGAATCTAAAAAAAAATGGTACAAATGAACTTATTTACAAAACAGAAATAGAGTCACAGATGCAGAAAACAAACTTGATAAGTCACCAAGGGGGAAGGGAGGGGGGATAAACTGGGAGATTGGGACTGACATATACACACTACTATGTATAAAATAGATAAGAACCTGCTGTATAGCACAAGGAACTCTACTCAATACTCTGTAATGACCTATATGGGAAAAGAATCTAAAAAAGAGTGGATATATGTATATGTATAACGGATTCACTTTGCTGTACACCTGAAACTAACACAACATCATAAATCAACTCTACTCCAATAAAAATTAATTTAAAGAAAGCTTAAACTATTTAGAGTACAACAACACTGTTGGTGATAAAAAGAACTCTGTCTTCCAAATATGGGGACCAGAGTCCTAGATTTTCACTGAAATCTTATCTCTGGAAACAGTCTTAAATTTGCCAATTTAGAAAAATAAGTAGTGTCGTAAATATGAAAACTGCGCCTTAAGTTCTACTTGGCGGTAGGCGATGGAAAGGTTTTGCTTTGTCTTATTAACTACAATAGATTGAAAAAGAACGATATACATCTTTTTTTCACTTTTGAAAAGCCAAGAAGAAAAACAACAAATAAAGTGATAGACTTAAAGCTGCCCGACCTTCATCAGCACACACTACTAACTGAGGTATCTGATCTCAGAATGGAAAATGTTTCCAGATAATTCTTTTATTTCTCCACCAGGCAAGGAAAGCACCTCTTCTCCACAGACCATGAATCCTCAAACTTGCAGAAAGATACCGAAATATACTTTCATTTAAAACTTCAAAACAAATGACAATAACGATAAAACTATTCTAATATAATTTCTAACCCATGTGGAAGAAGTCATGTGTACACCTGCCAGAGTGTGTTCAGTCAATATTGTATTTGTGCTTAATATTTTATGATTTTACATATACATTTAGGTCCATATCATGTTGCAAGTACCTTCAGATGAAATCAGATTCTACATTCTTCTCAACTCTCACAAACCTTGTGGTCTGTGTACTGACAAAGGGTATGACGGTTAATAACTGAAGCAATCTGATCAAATGATGTTGCAATATTGCAAAGTTTACACTTTGAATTTTGATGAAGCTGAACCTTTCTCAAACAATAATATTTATGCATCATTTTGACAAGATCATCCAACTGGAATGGACAGGGCTCTCATGCCCTTTTGACAAAAGATTTAATGGTCCTGCTTCCAGTACATTCTGCCCTCAAAAGTTCATTCTACAATAGTCAGAGGGTGCCTCCAACACAGGTGAGACTCTGATATTCCTCACTAATAGTGAGGAATCTGCTGAAAGCTTCCCATCTCATTCATCATAGGGCTGTCTCAGAAAACAATAATCTAAGAAGGAATAGAAAATGGATGACCTAAGGAAGAAATTCAGTGGAAAACTGCAGAGAATAAATTTATGTCTAATATTTGTCATCTGTTTCCTTAATTGCCCAGCCAATTTCTTCTCTCTCTTTTTTTAATAAATGTATTTATTTATTTATTTTTGGCTGTGTTGGGTCTTCGTTGCTGCACACAGGCTTCCTCTAGTTGCGGTGAGCAGGGGCTACGCTTCGTTGTGGTGCGCAGGCTTCTCATCGTGGTGGCTTCCCTTGTTGCGGAGCACGGACTCTAGGTGCGTGGGACTCAGTAGCTGTGGCACGCGGGCTCAGTAGTTGTGGCTCATAGGCTCTAGAGCACAGGCTCAGTAGTTGTGGCACACGGGCTTAGTTGCTCTGTGGCATGTGGGATCTTCCCGGACCAGGGATCGAACTTGTGTCGCCTGCACTGGCAGGCGGATTCTTAACCACTGTGCCACCAGGGAAGTCCTGCCCATCCAATATCTGAATTTAACTTACATCAGAAGAGCTTAAAAGTTGAGACACTAGATTTCACTCATATTTTCATATTGAGAAATGTGTGCATGAGAACCCGAAATGTACCTTTCCACTGTTCTCTACTATGCCATCCTCATTAATTGATAAATGTTCTACCCCCAAAAGTGGCCCTGCTGCATTTCTCTATCTGTTCCTAAATCTGGACTCATTCCAGCTATGCTGGTCTCCTGTAAATACCTCAGGGCCTTTGCACTTGCTACTCCTAGTACTTTACCCTGGGACACAGCTTCCTCCCTCTCTTCTTCCGGTAGGGTTCTCTGCTCAAGCATCATTTCACCATAGCACCCCTCCCTTCACTCTTTTCCCCCTTGTTCTGCTTCATTGTTCTTTATGGTTCTTCAATTTTCTTTCTCCCCTCACTAGGTGTGAACTTCATGAAGGCAGAAACTTTGCTTGTTTTGTTTACTGCTGAATCTCAAGCCCTGGAAATTTGTGGAATAAAAGTGCCACAAAATAAAAATTCATTGGATCAACTGTGTGAATAAATAAGTGAAGCCTTTTCAAATCTTATCTGCACATGGCCAAATATGCAAACAGAGTGCAGAAGGCACAACAGTCCCCATGTCGGGCCAAACCCAGTCCTTTTATAAGAACCTGAGACTGGGCTTCCCTGGTGGCGCAGTGGTTGAGAATCTGCCTGCTAATGCAGGGGACACGGGTTCGAGCCCTGGTCCGGGAAGATCCCACATGCCGCGGAGCAACTAGGCCCGTGAGCCACAACTACCGAGCCTGCGCGTCTGGAGCCTGTGCTCCACAACAAGAGAGGCCGCGATAGTGAGAGGCCCGTGCACCACGATGAAGAGTGGCCCCCGCTTGCCGCAACTAGAGAAAGCCCTTGCACAGAAACAAAGACCCGACACAGCCAAAATAAATAAATTAATAAACAAACAAACAAAAAGAACCTGAGACTAAATGTAAAGATAAACCCAAGGAGTGAGAAACAGGCCAGGTGGGAGTAGACCCACTAAGACTTAGAGTCAGAGATTGCTCACAAACCTCTCAGCTATTGGAACTAAGAATGTCTCTGCTAGTCTAGCTTCAAGAATTCTGTGACTGGCTTTTCTCAGGGGTGGATTAAGCCCAGAGACAAGGGGTCAAGATCAGTGTGGAGTCTGTTCCCCTGCCCTTCAATGTGGATGACCTAACTGATCTAGAGCATGTTCTGGCTCCAATGAACTAGTATTATAAAATCCTTGAATTTCAAAGCTGGAATGGATTTTTGCGTAGTTGAGCCAACACGCCTCATAAATGAGTAAACAACAGAGTGAAATTTTTTTCATTAGTTCATGTCTTTTATTAACCAATATACAATTACTTGTCTTCTGGTTTGTTGAAACAATAGGTCAGACAACATTTGCCACAATGTCTGTCAAAGCGGCTGGCCATAAAAACTCCAGCACCACATTCATTTGAAGGGCACTCCCGATGAAGGCGAATGATTTTGCCATTCTCATCCACCTTATAGTATTTCAGGACAGACAGCTTAGCCTTCTTTCTCTTATGCTTGTTCTTCTTGGGAGTGGTGTAAGACTTCTTCTTCCTTTTCTTAGCACCACCACGAAGCCTCAACACAAGATGAAGTGTGGACTCCTTTTGAGTGTTGTGGTCAGACAAAGTACGTCCATCTTCCAGTTGCTTGCATGCAAAGATCAGTCTTTGCTGGTCAGGGGAAATTCCTTCCTTGTCCTGTACCTTGGCCTTTACATTTTCTATTACATCCGAGGGTTCGACCTCGAGAGTGATGGTCTTCCCCGTCAGGGTCTTCACGAAAATCTGCACATTGGCGGCAGTGCCACTGCAGATGGAGGACCCAAAAGCTAGAGTGACATTTGTAAAAATTCAAATGTTTGTACTCAAGGCTTGGGGAAACTATCTTCCGAGCAATAATTTTAGATTAGAAAGAAATAAGGACTGAGTCATTGCTTCTGAGAGATGCTATGTAGCATCCACAGAAATGCCTGGTGAAGCTTAAAAATTTACAGAAGAATAGAGTGATGTTACTATCAGTGTGCTACACTGTTATTTGATACTCAGGTATGTTGAGTCCTGTGGTCTGGGTTGAACTAACAAAAGGTGACAGAGGAAAACAAGGGCAGGAGGTAACCAGGTGAGTGACCAGGCCATGGTGGTGTTTTTGTCCATTTGGGCCGCTCTAACAAAAATACCCCACAGAGTGTGGCTTATAAACAACAGAGATTTATTGCTCACAGCTCTGGAGGCTGGAAGTCTGAGATCAAGGTGCCAGCATGGTCGGGTGAGGAACCTCCTCTGGTCAAAGACTTCTCATTGTGTCTTCATATGGCAGAAGGGATGAGGGAGCTCTCTGGGGTCTCTATTATAAGGCACTAATCCCATTCCTGTGGGCCCCATCCTCATGACCTAAGTGGCTCCCAAAGGCCCCACCTCCTAATACCATCACATTCGGGGGTTAAGATTTCAACATATGGGCTTCCCTGGTGGCACAGTGGTTGAGAGTCCACCTGCCCCGGTCCGGGAAGATCCCACATGCCGCAGAGCGGCTGGGCCCATGAGCCATGGCTGCTGAGCCTGCACGTCCGGAGCCTGTGGAGAGGCCACAACAGTGAGAGGCCCGTGTACAAAAAAAAAAAAAAAAAAAAGATTTCAACATATGAATTTTGGGGGGACACATTCAGACCATAGTGGATGATTTCAAGGTGTCCACAGAGGGTCACTGAAATTTGACCTTGCTGACAAATGAACGCCTCTCTCCTCATTGTAATCCACAGATATCTAAACACACTTCTTCAAGTTGTGGCCACTTGGACCAAACAGAGGGCATAATTCCTGGCTAAGAGCAAAGAGCTGAGGACTAGAGAGATCACAGTTCTAGTTTTAAAGTCTAGGCTATTCATGCCTTGTTTTTAATGACTTTTCAGGCAGAGGACTCAGGTAACCTGCCTCTCCCACTTCAGGCACAGCCTGGATCCCTGGCATTCAGTCTGGATTTGATCTATTAAAAGCACTGATATCTGCAAAGCTTCTCCTCTCAACCTGAGTCCTGGCCTTGGCCTCTTCTGGCTTCCCTGTTCTTCATTGCCCACTTCCTGGTGTGGCAGTGGACACTGTTCACCATTTGTGGCCACAGGCTTCAGTCTTAGGATATTATAAATGCATTTATGGAAGAAATTCTTTGGAATGATAAGCTGGATACTGAAATAGGCTACAATGAGAAAAAATGTCAACATGAAAACTGAAGCAAAGGAATTCAAATAAAAAGTGAAGTTAGAAATATAAATGGGAAATAAAGTCCATTACTGCAGTCTTGGAAAGTAACTGACTTTTATATTATGGAGTGTTTTGTTTAAATACTTACAGATTCAACAAAGAAATGAGCTGCTACCATTCCAATCTATGTGTTTCTTAACTTTGGTTTATAGCAAACAAACCACCACAGTGTAAAGAAGCAAGCAAAAGGACAACCAAGTTAACTACCCAGAAACTGCCTCTGTCCCATATGGACTCTGCATGGGTGCCCTCCCTTCTCTGTATTTGCATGCTGCTCACTCCTCAGTCTTGATAAAGTGTGGACCATCCATCAATCTTAGTCTTACATTTAAAACTCATTAAAAATCTGTTTGCCATTCCTCTAAAAGATTAATCACACAAGTCCAACATGATAGCTTTGCCAATTAAAATGCTCCCGCTTTACCATTTCATTTCAAGTGTATTGTAATTATATTATATTGTTTCTGGTCAAGTTAGAAAATTTATTCAAATAATAATCCTATTTTTGGTATATGGTACACTCTTAGCACTATTTCTCATGTTAATTATGCACAAAACTTGAAAATGTACTTATGTGTCTAAAGAAGTAAGACTGTCTTTGTCTGTCTGTCTGTCTATCTATCTATCTATCTATCTATCTATCTATCTATCTATCTATCTATCTATCTATCCATCCATCCATCCATCCATCCCTTAAACTGTGCAGTTATGTAAATATCCACAAATCCATAAGAACGGCTAATTAGTTACCCTTTGGGTGTCTTGGCTTTTTGTACAACCACTTTTCTATCTCTCACTTGTGTGTGTGTGTGTTTTTTTTGGGGGGGGCTCGCCGTGCGGCATGCGGGATCTTAGTTCCTGGAACAGGGATCGAACCCATGCCCCCTGCAGTGGAAGCACGGAGCCTTAACCACTGGACCACTGGGGAAGTCCCTCACTTGTGTTTTTAATAAGAAATTTACACCAGAGATCACATTCATTTGCCTGCTCAGGCTTATAAATAGATGCATAATGGGAATATGGTTCCCAGTTATGTGTTTTGAGAAATCACTTGTGCTTAGTCGATCCTATGAGTTAGAGAGAGAAGCAGTTCCTGGCATCATTCCCTATGTCCCAACTCTTGACTTATCCTTCTCCAGGATTAAGTCAGAGCACAAACCTCTTGTTCTAGCTGTCCTAGATACTTGAGAAAGCATATTTGGATGTGTTTACAATATTAAAAAAAAAACAAACTAATCTTAAGGATCCTTTTTTTCCTTTGTCATGCAAAAAAGCAAACACAGCAAACACTGACTTAATTTCTTTTCTTTTTGTTTTTTAATGAATTGGAAAGCACTGAGTGAAGGAGACAGATGTTCATGAACTCCAGGTCAAGCTAAGCTTTGGCAGCCAGAAAAGTGTTCCTAATAAATATGATTTTATTTGTAAATGCGAGAGACAGATTTCTGGCTTTCTTTTCCACTCTCAACTGATTAGTGTGGCTAGCTCTACAGAGATTGCCAAAATTAATTAGAACCAATTTTAATTAATTATTTCGAGTTAATTTTTGTTAACTAGAGGTGACCCAGAACTAAGATTCACTTTTGAGATTATATCTAGGTAAATGATTCTAAAACTAAATTGTAAATATGTTGGATTTTTCATTCGTTCATCAGATATTTACTGATACCCTACAATGTGCCTATGCCTCTTTAAGGCATTGGGAAATTTGGTAGTTAACCAAACAGACAAAAATTCTTTCATTTGTAGTTGAGAGAGAAAGATAACAAAGTAAATAAGTAAATACATATAAAGCATGTTAGAAGGCGATATAAAGGAAACAGGGATACGCAGTGTCAAGGGTTCAGCTCTAAATAAAGTATTGTGGGGTCTTCACTGAGTGGATGTTGAGAGGGAGCAGGCAGGTGATGAGATGTCAGGAGAGCCCCAGGTGAGGGAGGAGCATCTTCAATGTCTCTGGAGGGAGAGAGCACCCCAAGGACAGTGTGCCTACAGCCCAGAAAGGGGCTGAGCATCAAAAGACGAGCTCAGTGGAGCAACAGGGCTCCAGCAAGAAGGAGAATGGTCCGTCACTGTAGGAACTTTGATGTTTACTCTGAGTAACTGAAAGGCCAAAGGAAGTATTTGAACTAGTAAGTGAACTGACCTAATTTATGCTTTTAAAGATCATGCTGACTCTGGTGTTGAGAACAGACTGTTGGGGAACTGAAGCTGGGAGGCTGGTAATGGGGTAAAGGTAACAATTTAGGTTCAATAGGCCAGTGGACCAGGCAGGTAAGGAGGTGGTGAGAGGTGGCTGATCCTGGCTAGATCATGAAAGTAAGGTGGCAGGATTGGTTATTGGTTAGAATATGGGATTTAAGAGATAAAAAGAGCCAAGATTGACTCATATGCTTTATTAACTAAAATTATAGGAATAGTCAATCATGGGTTTGATGTAGGTGTTCATTCATTATGACCATATTTACTATGAATTCCTAAAAACATGAAAGAAGGAAATCTTTCTAAGCTACCTTGAGTACAGGTAGGGATCCCAAAATGATTTCTCCCTTTATGCTTTGATTTCCCTCATTGAAAAGATATTTCTTTCTTCTCCCCTGCCAAATATTTTCTTTAGACTTCATAAACATCTTAACGTTTTTTTGTCTTTCAGAGCACACATTTTTTCTTAATTATGTTAAAAATTACTAAATATATCTTATATTTTCACATAGTTACTGTTCACATTGTTATTAATCTGCATACCTTTTCCCATTAAACTGTAAAATATTTTTTTAGAAAACTCTTTCACTATGTGTACTCAAAGTTTTTCTTGAAATAGCAGAAGATACCCCAAACTAGACTGTTCTTTTTTTTGCATTCTCTTCCAGTCCATGTTGTTACTTTCACAAAGTGAATACAATTCATGGGTTGCTCTCAATTATTTTAGATGGACATGCATGTTTCAGCAAACGGTAAAAAATTTGAAACATAATAAGTGTAGCAGCTGTGCACCTGGGCATTCTCATGTAATCTCTGTCCCAAGTTTGAAATGCAAGGATTAAGCAAACAAAAGTGAGACAGCTTTCCTGTCACCTTTATTTTGCCAAACTGACTCAAATGAAGATGACTTTTGACTGTATGATTCCCGATCTGTAATTATTTCAGGAGTAACTCCTGAAAAATTCAGAGCTATCACACAACATCTGTTTCTCCCTCCAAAATCGTTCAGACCCTGAAAATATTAAAACCGATTAAGGCGATTAAATAAATTTAGCAGGGTGGTCCAGTTTAGTTAGCCTCTCAGAAAATACTGGAGAGAAGATAACCAAATCCATCTGGAGTTTGTTGATATTTCTTGGAATTTCATTATAAGAATGCGGGTACTGCTACAGCACACGGGGACTAATTCACACAGAATGTGGTCGAAGACAGTAGTCAACTTCAGTCCACAGGTACAGATGGCCATTTTTGAGTAACCTTCCCTAACTTTATGGAAACAGTTTGGGAGTACAACTAAAAATAAACTTCATGGGACTTTTATTTCCTAATTTAAGAAGATAAAACAATCTTTAATAAGAGACTGTTCTGTCCTTCAGCCATTCACCTGGAAGGTAGCTCATTTGGAAGAGCTACTGATTATCATTGAGTTCTAGATCTTTTATCAGTGTATCCTACATCCTGACATTCACCCATCAGTTTATTCATGAGTTCGTTTGGATCCACCCTCTTTGAAAAAAATTGAAGAAATTATGGCAAAATGGACTAGCCAATGTCTTCCAAACTCTACCATCAAATCAACACTAGACTAATACGCATCACATTTAGAGGAAAGTTTACAGACTCAAGTGTAAAAATTACTATGAACAATAAAAAAATTTTATCTCCTTTCTCTTCCTTTCCAAAGTGTTCAAAATTACCAGCTACCATCTTGCATCCTAATTTGGAGTATTTAAAAAAAAAATCATGCCTCTAATAACGACAGTCAAAAAATTACTTGCTAAAGAGCATACTTATTCCCAGACTCCTGAGATACTGACAAGATGACAGCATTTCCAAGGCCCCTGTTCATCATTGTTCTGTAAGCCTGTCAGTATGAAAGTGACTGATGCCTTCTCATCCACTTGCTTCCCCCCTGCCACCATCAACCAACCAATTCTTTGTGACAGGCTCATTTTCGGGGCAAACAATGTTCGATGTGTTGGTCAGGTTTCCACACACGCATGTACAGAAGCAGAAATGTTACACAGGTAGAATTAACAAGGAAAGAAAACGGTGTTATGGCCATCTTTCCAGGGTCCAGGGATCCCGAGTGTGGTCAAGAAGAAGAGGCTGGACACAGCAAAGACATAGGGCCCATAATAGGACCCAGATGCCCAGGCCTAAGGGTGGTATTACTCACAAGGGTACTCACTGGAGCCATCCAAAGAGCACAGGCATAAGCTAATCCACAAGGCTGGTACCCACGTCATTGCCTGCAGTTGGTCTGAACCGTGGCCCACACATGCAGGAGGTGTCACTGGAACCAGCACAGGCTGTGGGTTTCACCAGAGGATGAGGAGAGCCAGGCTCTCCAGGCTCACCTGCCCCCACCCCAGACACGACAGGCCACCTAGACCATGTGATTGCTTCCCTCTTTTCTCCCCACCTTCCTCTTCCTTCGTGCTTTCTACTTGTCCTGGCTTTATTTCAAATGGACCAACCCTGAGAAACCTCTCTCTCCTCCTCCCTCACTGGGACCAGTCTTACTACATGTCCAAGGCTGAGGAGAGTCCTGACAGTTGAGGTCTGTGGGGTGAGTGGCTATTGTGTCAGTTCCTATTCTCTAAGTTGCGCTGGTGCCCGACGCTACCCAGAACATTCCTGAAGGTAAATAACTTGTAATAGGGTCTTGCCTTTGAAATATAATTTGGTTGGTTTTCTCTGTGTGTGTAGGTATGTAAAAAAATAACTAAGTAAACAAATAAATACATTCTAATTCGATTTTTTAAAAAGGTGATTGGGTTCCTAGGAGTATCTTTGTACTTATAGAAATTTTAAAGTTATTTAAGCAGCAGGTATTGGGAATTTAGTTCCAGTGAATTATGACCAATTAGTTGTCTTGTACAACTAACATTCCATTTTATTGGATATGCAGAATTATTTAAAACGTTAAGTCTTTAAGCATCTAACACATATATAATATTTTTAGGGGGCATAAAGATGAATAAGAAAAACTTCCTATTTTTAAATTTAGTTAATAAAAAGAATAGGATTAAAAGTACATGTTAGCTTTTAGTGATACTGTGCTGTTCTTTTTCTTTTAACTAAAGTATTTGCTTTTTCTTCTTTTATTAATTCAAATTAGAGTTAAAAATCTCTCAGTGTAAAATGCCAAGCTGGAATAATTAATCTGCACCAAGAAATGGCAGAAGCAGCAGGGAGAATGAAACTCAAGGCTCAATTAACAATAAAAGAAAACTGCCCTGTTGTGATATTTCCAGGGTGCCAGGTATCCTGGGATCAAGGTGGTCCCCAGCCCATGGAAGAGGGAATCACAGCAACCTAATAGGTTATATGATCCTTTGGAATGAGAGTTTAAGTATCAATCAGGTCTTCTGGCCACTGGAGGTGAAGGTGAAAGGGTAAAATAATTTTTATCATTATGTGATCATAAAATAGAAAGTCATTAAGATAAATGGTAAATACACTTATGACATTCTTGTTGTAAAAAAAAAAAGGGGGGGTTCCCTGGTGGCGCAGCGGTTGAGAGTCCGCCTGCCGATGCAGGGGACATGGGGTCGTGCCCCGGTCCAGGAAGATCCCACATGCCGCAGAGCGGCTGGGCCCGTGAGCCCTGGCCGCTGAGCCTGCGCGTCCGGAGCCTGTGCTCTGCAATGGGAGAGGCCACAACAGTGAGAGGGCCGCGGACCAAAAAAAAAAAAAAAAAAAAAAAGCGGGGGGGGGATTGTGAAGTACTTTTCAATCAAAGCAAGCTCACTCAGGATAAAAATTGGGGGAGAATGAAGCCATCTCAGTGGTTCCACAGTGTAAACCACAGAAGAGATGATATGTCAAAAGAACAGCAAGATTTCAGATCACTCTCCAGACACAGTACGCAAGGTGTTTATCCGGAAATGTTCAAGGAGCATAGGGACAATCCTTGAGTCAGTCAAACATTCCCGGGTGGCTTTACTTATAGTGACTATACTTGTTCATTTCTAGAAATTCTATTTGGGCCTTTAAAATTTTTTATAGTTTCTTATTTTATGGTTTCTTTCAGCTTGCTCTAGTCACTCAAATTCCTGGACCCCCAGTCGTTTAGTCTGCTGAAAGTGCTGACTCCTTCCTGGTGACTCATTTGTCTTGTCCTTGACATTTTTGAACTCTGAGCTTATCATCAGTGGGGTTTCTCTTCTTTCCTAAGGGGTTCTTGCATGATCCACTGTGTGGAAAGGCTTTGCAGAAAAGTGTTATGTTCACCTAATGCTGGGATCCTCAGGGTTTCCAGACAAGTCTTCAGTTTATTCTTTTCAGCTCAAGTTTCTGTACAACAGACAAGCTGTAAGTTCAGACCCTGCCCTCACACACGTCTAGTTTCTCAAAGGAGAAAAATTTCCCCACTTAAGCACCAGAGAGGACAAGCTTTCCTGGTGATCCCAAATCAGTGATGAGGAATTTTGAGTTCTTTCCACAGGTGGGGCTGCCCTTTCAGTCTGCAGGCATCGTGCAGAGACCCTGTTCCAGCTCCCTTCTCATCCAGCTTAAAATCATTTCCTTCTTTCTTGGTGGATATCTAAGTCCGCTTGGCTGCTACAACAAAGTACCATATACTGGGTGGTGGCTTATAAACAACAGAAGTTTATTTCTCACAGTTCTGGAGGCTGGAAGTCTGAATCAGGGTGTCAGCAGGGCTGGAGTCTGGTGAGGGCCCTCTTCCTGGCAGACGGCCACCTTCCTGCTGTGTCCTCACATAGCAGATGGGATGAGGAAGCTCTGTGGGGCCTTTCTTATAAGGGCACTAATCCTATTCTTGAGGGCTCCACCTTCATGATGATTCAATTCCCAAAGGCCCCACCTCCAAATAGCATCACATTGGGGATTAGGTCCCAACACATGAAGTTGCAGCTTGGGTGGGACAACACAAAAATATTTATTTTATGGTAGTGAGTCTTTAGCATCTGGTCCTCTTTCCTCTTGGATTATATCTGGATCATAAAGCCTTGAGTTTAAGCTCCATCAGCTTCGATTTCTCCATTTCTTTTTTTTTTTTTTTGCGGTATGCACAGGCTCTGGACGTGCAGGCTCAGCGGCCATGGCTCACGGGCCCAGCCGCTCCGTGGCACGTGGGATCTTCCCGGACCGCAGCACGAACCCGTGTCCCCTGCATTGGCAGGCGGACTCTCAACCACTGCGTCACCAGGGAAGTCCCTAGACTATACCTTTTAGAATAGTTTTAGAAAAATTGAGAAAATAGTGCAGAGAGTTCCCATATACCCCACATCCAATTTTTCCCCTATTATTAACATCTAATATTAGTATGGCATATTTATCACAATTATTAAACCTATATTGGTACATCATCATTAACTAAAGTCCATAGTTTCTTCAATTTCCTTTTCAGTTTTCTTCTGATGTCCTTTTTCTGTCCCAGGAACCCATCTACCAGGATCCCACGTTGCCTTTGGTCATCATGTCTCCTCAGACTCCTCTTGGCTGAGACAGTGTCTCAGACTTTTCTTGTGTTTGATGATTTTGACAGTTTTGATGAATACTGGTCTGGTGTTTTGTAGAATGTCCAGTATTGGGATTTATCTTTCTATTTTCTCATGATAAGGCTGAGATTGTAGGTTTTGGGGAGGAAGACCCCAGAAGAGAAGAGAGCACTTCATCACATCAGAACAAGGGTGCACACCATCCACATGACTTACCCCTGTTGATGTGGATCTTCATGACTTGGCTAAGGTAGTGTATATTTGTCAGGTTTCTCCCCTTCTTTTCAGGACTCCTTGGTGCATCCACTCATCACTTGCATCTTTGTCACACATTAGTTCACGGCACACACTTAAGAAGGCTTTTTGTGAGGTCCCTCTTTTGTTCAATTTTATTTTATTATTTTTTCCTTCATCCTCTATCCCTATACCTATCCATGCCACGCCTACCCCAATATATCCTCTTAACATATTAAATGTATAACCATCCTATTTATCTTCTCTATCCTTATTAGATAAAAGGTGGTATTTCTGCATGCATAAT